TGTAACCCCCATGAGAACAGGGATTGTCTGTGGTAGAATTCTATCCCATATGACTAACACAGTGGGTGCAACATAGTATTAATTCATTTGCTCATTCATTCATTCAAAAATATTTATCAGATACTCACTATTGGCCAGTTACTGTTCTAGGAGCTTGAGGTACAAAACAGACATAAATAACTTGCTTTCATGGAGTTTACATTCTAGTGGGACACACACTGAATAGTAGGTATTATATTTGATATTTATTGGATCTGCGATCTTGAACCTGAGCAGAACTGTATTACTTACTTTATTCATTTCTTCAACAAACATCTATTGAATATTTTCAATGGACCAGGTACTTTATACATCCTTTTATTTAATCTGTAAAACAACCCTATGAGAGAGATATCATTAGTCCCATTTCTAAGAAAGAAAAATTGAGGTCAGAGAGGTTTAGCAACTTGCCTTAGGTTAAGTAGCAAGCAGTCAAGTGCAGTTAGTTTGACCACAAAGCCTGCCAGCTTACTCATCACACTACAACATACTGCTTTTGACAAGTCAGTTCTGGTTCTAAAATGATACAAAGCAACCCCTGTAGGGCCCCTGACCCAGAGGGAGACCTTGAGAAAATGAAGCCATGGAGAAACCTCCCAGCCTAGATCAGGCCCGATATACCAATGTACTCTCCATTCCTTATGGTGATAGAGTGGCCCTCACAATTGGTTTTTCTTTGACAGATGGGGAAAATAGAGACACAGGGCCAGGAAAGAAGTCACAGAAAGGCACATTGGCAGTGAAGAAAGACCCTGGCACCCTTGTATTCAAGATATCATAGAATAAGGCACTGAGAGTTAACTTCAGGAAGGAGGAGGCCAATGGTGGTGGCTACAGAACAAGTACCCGGTTGTCAGTCTTAAACCTGAGTTCTTGGGTAAGGTCCTGCCTCCATGCCTTTATGTGAACCCTGGAGGCGTTTGCTCTTTCAGACCATTCCCTGCCCTCACTTCCAATTCCTCCCTATCCTGAGCCAAATGTTTGAAAGACAGGAGGCAGGGAACATGGTTCTGGGACTCAACCTCTCCCACCATAAAGGCAAATATAAGGAAAATCACTAGTTGTGGTGACACGTGCTTGTAATTGTTGCTACTCAGGAGGTTGAGCAGGAGGATCACCTGAGCCCAGGAGTTCAAGACTCTGTCTCAATTAAAATTAAAAAATAAAAAGATTTCAGGAAATGTCTTCAACACTGAAAGGGAGGCAGGTGCAAGGGCAGGTGAAAAGGCGCATAGCCCTACCAGACTGCCCTTCCCTGAGGTAGGGGAAAGCTCAGTCTGTGTAGTCACCTCTGTGAAGTGATTCCAAATGCCACAGTGTGGGGGAGACAAACAAGGAAAGGGGGTGGGAGGCATTTACAATCTTTGGATATGAGCTGGGCTGAGCCTGACAGTGGGTATGAGACTGTGTGCGAGTTAAATGAAGACAGTTTTGCATGGAGACAGGGCAGACCCAGGAGAGGAGGAGAAGGGGAGGAGCATGAGGCAGCGTGAGTGAAGAGTCTCTGTACCCAGTTTTGTTGCTAGAACACAGTTATGTCTGTGTATTCCTAAGAGATGTGTTCATACCTGAATGGGCGTGCGGAAGGTAGGGTTTATTATATGAAAGGCCCATGCAGGAATATTTGTATGTGAGGTGTGTGTGTGTGTGTGTGTGTGTGTGTGTGTGTGTGTGAAGTGTCAGGGGAGGGAAGGTAGGTTGTAGGTGTCAGTGTCCTTGTAAAGTCAGTCTGGATGTGCATTTCAGTTTTTGTGTGGAATGCAACAAACACAAGATATAGGCAGTGTGTTTTGGGGAGATTTTATATGTAAGATATGTAACAGGAAAATAGGGTTAAGCATGCGGTGCGTGCTGAGGGTTATGGGGGAACACTGGCAGAGTACGTGGCATGCTGCCTGTGTGGAGAAAACAAGAGCTTTGGAATGGTGTAAGTGTACCAGGCATCCTCAGTAACCTCAGCCATGTCTCTGAACCTCAACTTGTCTGCTGAAAAGGGGATAGACCCCACCCACATACAGGGTTGTATGAAAATTCAGTGACTTAATCCATTAGAATTGTCCTCCTCTCAATAGGTGTTCAAAAAATGATTACTACTATGATTCTGGTTGTGAAGTTGCCAACACCTGAGACAGAGCTCACTAAATATTTGCCAAATGAAGAATAAATGACTTGTTCTTTTGGTTTTGCCTGCTTAACACCAAATACTCAATTGATAACTGGGGCTTGAATTAGTTCATTATTTCTTATTTATATTTTGCTTTTTATTCTACCTATAGCTCCAGCGCTCTCTCATTATGTTGAGAGAGCGCTGGAGCTATAGATGCAAAGTCCCTGAAGGGGTTAGTGGGGAGTAGGGAAGGGAAGAGGTGGTTGGAAAGTCAATCAGACAGGCCTGGGCAAAAAGCAGGGGAAGGTGCCAAGAGCTCTCTATGCACTCAAGGAATTGAGTCAAGGAGAAGTAAAGGCCGGTGAGGTCTTCAGTACGCAAGGGAATATAGTGAAGGGTGAAAAACATCTAGGATTCCCATGCCTACCCTGAGCTCCATTATTCCAAGGCAGCTCTTGAGTTTAAGGCCCAGGCCTGCCCAGAACAAGGCAAAATTGACCTCCTAAAGAGCAGAGGAAAGGGAGGGGCAGAGACTGCTTGTACAGGAAATGCTCATTGCTGTGAACTTGAGCACATATAATGCTCTTAGCTCTACAACCTAGTCTCTAGGGCTTGACCCAAGCCAGGGCTCAGCAAGTGGTCATGGAGATCAGAAGCCATATAGTCCCAGGGACATAAGAGTATTAAGGTTAAAGAGTAGATTTCCTGCCCCAACGCGGTGGCTCATGCTTGTAATCCCAGCACTTTGGGAGGCTGAGGTGGGTGGAACACGAGGTCAGGAGATTGAGACCATTGTGGCTAACACAGTGAAACCCCATCTCTACTAAATATACAAAAAATTAGCCAGGCATGGCGGCACGCACCTGTAGTCCCAGCTGCTTAGGAGGCTGGGGCAGGAGAATCGCTTGAACCTGGGAGGCAGAGGTTGCAGTGAGCCAAGATCGCACCACTGCACTCCAGCCTGGGCGACAGAGCGAGACTCCGCCTAAAAACGTAAATAAATAAAAAGAAGACACGTGCACATGTATGTTTATTGCATCACTGTTCACAATAGCAAAGAGTTGGAATGAACCCAAATGCCCATCGATGATAGACTGGTTAAAGAAAATGTGGCACATATACACCATGGAGTACTATGCAGCCATAAAAAAGGATGACTTCATGCCCTTTGCAGGGACATGGATGAATCTGGAAGCCTTCATTCTCAGGAAACAGACGCAAGAACAGAAAATCAAACACTGCATGTTCCCACTCATAAGTGGGAGTTGAGCAATGAAAACACATGGACACAGGGAGGGGAACATCACACACTGGGGCCTGTTGGGAAATGGGAAGTTAGGGGAGGGATAGCATTAGGATAAATATCTAATGTAGACGACGAGGTGATGGATGCAGCAAACCACTGTGGCACATGTATACCTATGTAACAAACCTGCACCTTCTGCACATGTACCCCAGAACTTAAAGTACAATTAAAAAGAAAAAAAAAACAGATTTCCTGACTCCTTATTTGTGTCTATATTGTCTGTCTCCTCTCAGTAGAATGTTCTTCACTACTATTTTCCTGGTACCTAGACCTAGCATGGAGTACGTATTTCATAAATGGTTACAAGAGATTATAGCCATAAGAGTACTATTTATTGCAGCTGTTATTACCATCTTTTTCTTTTTGGTAGTTTTTAAAATTGTGGCAAAATATGTATCACAAAATTTTCCAACTTGACAATTTTCAAGTGTTCAATTCAGTGGCTTTAATTACATTCACAGTGTTGTGCAACCATCACCACTTATCTATTTCTGAAACTTTTTCATCATCTCAAACGGAAACTCTGTAACCATTAAGCAATAACTTCCTACTCCCCACCTTTCTCCTGTCCCTGGTAACCTCTAATCTACTTTTGGTCTCTATGAATTTGTCTATTTTGAATATTTCATATAAGTGTCTTTATACAATGTTTGTCTTTTTGATTTTGGCTTATTTCATTAACAATGTTTTCAAGACTCATCCATATTACAGCCTATATAAGAACTGCATTCCTTTTAACAACTGAGTAATATTCCATTTATGTATATACCATATTTTATTTATCCATTGATCTGTGAATGGACATATGTATTGTTTCCACATTTTGGCTATTGTAAATAATGCTGCAATGAACACTGGCATGCAAGTATCTGTTTGAATACCCGTTTTAAATTCTCTTGGGTATATACCTAGGAGTGGAATTGATGAGTCATATGGTAATACTATGTTTAGCTTTTTGAGGAACTGCCAAACTGCTTCCCATAGCATCTGCACCATTTTACATTCTCACCAATAATGTATGAAAGTTAGAATTTCCCCACAACTTTTCAACATTTACTTTCTATTCTTTTTGAAAGCTTTTAATACGTTTTGAATTTTATTTTTAACTGTAGCAAAATACACGTAATATGCCACTGCATTCCAGGCTGGGTAACAGAGTGAGACTCCTCAAAAA